CCCATAGTGGATTCTCAATACAAAATATTAATAAAGATAAAGGCAAAACCTCACCTTAAAAAAAAAAAAAAAAAAAAATATTCTCCTAATCAAAATAGCTTTAATTTTATAAAACTAAATTAGGATTTGTCTTAATAAAATTTTGAGAAAATAGCTTCTGAAACTATAACACTTCAAATTTTAGCTATTTATAAATATTTTCAAATCAAATCATTTGAAAATCTATATTTGAATTTTTTTGAAATTAAATATTTGAATCAAATTGTGAAACTCTAGATATAAATCATTTGATATATATTCAAGCTGCTTCAACTTTCTATATAAGCTTTAAACTTTAAAATATTTAAATAGTAAAAAAATGTATGATTAAAATTTGCTAGTCTATATACACAACAAAATAGATAGTATTTTTACTTCTAAAAATTAACACATCAGATTTAGAACCAGATAAGGTTTTAAGAGCAACAATATAAGGTATTTTACCAATTTTTTCAATTATTCACTTATCCTCTAACCAAATTGCCAAATATATTTTACCAAATTCTCTTCTAATTTTTTAATATTAGAATTTTTTATACAGAATCTTTTTAATTACTTTCTTATATATTATAGCTTTAAGTTAAAATTTTGTAATATATTTATCAATCTTAGGTTTTCTATTTGATAGATAATATTTGTTTGACTCTTTTGTAGAATTGCTCAATTAACACTGTTTTAGATTGATATAAAATCATTTATATTGTTTACACTTTCTATAATTAGAATTTATTTTATTGTAATAATAATCAAAAACAATTATATATTGTTTGATTTCAGCATTTTAAACTTTTCACAAGTTATTCTGTATATTTTATATTTCTCTTTATCTTCTTCATCTTGCATCATTTTATTAAATATATCAAGTAGCTTATAAGACATGTATTTCATTTACTAGTTTTACATTATTTAGTATAATGAATTTATAGCATAATAAACAAATTAATTTACTTTCTTTCTCATCAATTCCATTAATTTCTTTCTCTTTAATTTCTTTCTTTTTAATTGTTAAATACCTTAAGATATTTAAATAAAAAAGCAATTAATTAATAAAAACTATAAATGTTTTTACTTAAATATAAAAATTAGTTTTCACTTAAATAATGATTTGTAGAATATTTCTAAAACAAAGCTCAATATATGATTACAAACCAAAATATCTGCCTAAATTAAAATATATTAATTTGTTTGGTCACATTTTTAATTTGTTTGATTTCATCAGATATATCAAGTAATTTAGCAGGTTTATCAAGTAATTCAGCAGATTCATCAAGTAATTTAGGCTAATTCATCAAGTAATTCATCAGATTCATTAAGTAATTCATCAGATTCATCAAGTAATTCATCAGATTCATCAAGTAATTCAGCAGATTGATCAAGTAATTCAGCAGATTCATCAAGTAATTTAACAGATTCATCAAATAATTCAGCAAATTCAACAAATAATTTATACAGATTCATTACATAATTCATCAAATTCATCAAGTAATTCATCAGATTTATCAAGTAATTTATCAGATTCATCAAGAAATTCAGCAGATTTATCAAGTGATTCAGCTAATTCATTAAGTAATTCAACAAATTCACCAGATTCATCAGATCTAAGCAGCACATCTTTCAAAATCCTTAATATATTGTTTTGTTTGATTTTATTAAATTTATTAGATTTATCAGATTTAGGCACATCTTCTAAACTCTAATTATTCATCAATTTCTTTTATAGTCACATCTTTAATAATTGTCAGATATTTATAATCAATAGTTCTATTTTTTAAATATAGAGGTATTTTTTAAAATTGCCAAATACTCATAATCAGTTACTGCTAATATAGTGAATATTGCTATTATTATAAAAAATTTGTATTCAAATTTCTTTGTAATATTTTTTAATAATATTATTATATAAAGTAGCTATATATAGAAGATCTGAATTTGGAATCACAGATCATGGTTTAAGACTATAAATCTTGCTT